ATGCCACTCCATTTCAGCTGAACACACAGAAAATACATTTCTCTTGTATACAATCCTTCCTCAACATAGAAAAACAAATGGTACTCTGGATTACAGAATAATGCCCAGCACCTTGGACAAGCAAGACTGTAATTTAGCCAAGGCCTCTTGTTGAGAGGCTGAAAGTAAAGGCAACAATCTGAGAGTCAATAATTATTTTAATGATCCTCACAGATATCAAACTCCTGAGCACATAACAGACATACAAAAGTTATACACATAGATATCACATCACCCCCTACACTATGTCAAACCAGAAGGATCTGCACTGTGAGAAAAACCACACTACTCAGAACAGGCAGTTTCTTATTAAATATCAGAGGCATTAAAACAAAAACAAAACCACAGCAATATATGCCTTCTAAAACAAAGAAACAAAATAACTACTTTCACAAGACTACACATAAACAGTATATTCTACAAGTAGAAAAAAAATCAATCACATAAATTGGACTTCTTGAATTCACTCCACATCAAGGTGACAGTTTATACTAACAGCAGGAAGAAACAATTTATAGAGTACAATCAAAGAACATGCTGAAAGGAAAGCAAAAAATAAGGACAGGGATGTTCTAGTAACAAGACGAAAAGAAATCCATGGGAATTCCATTTCCATTCAAGTACTGTGCGAAAAGACATTCAATTTGTAAACCTCTCCCTAAATCAATGATTTTAAAAGATGACTGCCTTCTTTCAAAAGGCATACAGTAACCAACCACCTGAGAGACATAGTATTTTCCTTGTAATCACAGAAATATCCTCATTCCATTCTCCTTTGGTGTAAGAATTATGGATGCTATGAGTCATTATTATTGATGGAAGAAGGTTGGAGAATTTAGGTATATGTGGCAATTAATTAACACTTCCTGAATATGACAGTTCTAGTAAAGGTCACAGTTCACTAAATCTTAATTTCACAAATGTAATGATTAAAGAAGGTTAAAAAAAGAATAAAATCTAATGAGAGGATTACTAGGATATAAAAAGAAAAGAAAAAAAATCTTTAATAAATATCAAGTTTTAAGAAAGTGAGTAGGATAATCAGAAATATAGAATGTCCTCAATTTTCATCTCCCATTATGGAAAGTGAGCAAGGATAAAAAAGACCCTTGGATTGAGCAACTATACCTAAACTGGTCAAATTTAACTTCCAGCCAACTTTTGGTAAGTTGGATCACCTAGTGGAAAATCACTAAAGAAAACTACCCTGGGGAGAAAAAAGCACAAAGGTAAAGTCAGACATGTCTGTTTTTGTAAGTTGTGCCTAAGAAGCTCTGCAAAAAATAACATTTTTATGTGGAAGTTACTGTCCTAGCTTAGACATCAGCTACTTAATTCCATTTGGATTTTCATTTAGCTTAATATTCTCAATTCTGCTGCAAAATTAAAGACAACCAGTGTAACTTTTTAAAAATAGCACTGTCTAGATCCAACCTCACAGCTTTGTTTAATTGTTCTTAGGCCCAAGTATTGATAGTAATTTGTAAAATGGTACTAATGTGGGACTAATTATGCAGCTAGAGTTGAAAATCATCAAGAGTTTAGGAGCAGCCAGTTAATACCTCATTAGTGGCATACCACTGACCTCTATGGGTGAGGTTCTATCAGAAACTGATGCTAAAAGCAGCAGCAATATCTAGAGGCATGATTGATAGTTGTCGTAGACTGGTTGGTAAATGTCCTCCAAGGCTCATATGTTAAAAGCTTTGGTCACCAGCCTGTGGTGCTCTTGGGAGATGGTGAAACCTAGTAGAAGTCAGGTTACTAGGGACATCTCCTGGCCCCTTCCTGTCTCTCGCTATGCTTCCCAGCAACCATAAGGTGAGCAGCTTCCTCCACCAACATACTCCAGCCACAGCAATGTTCTCATGACAGGCCCAAATGAACAGGGCCAAGGTATTATGGACTTAAATCTTTAAAACCATGAGTCAAAATAAAATTTCCTCCTTATAAGTTGATTTTCTCAGGTATTTTGTCACAATGATGGAAAATAAACATAATAACCTTTCTAACCTCAGTGCTTCTTGCCAAACAGCCACACCATTCTAACCCTAGCCATATTTTACATAAGAAGTGAGTCAAATTTTACTGCTTGTAGCAATACCTTTTCTCTTAACAGGTTATAATTTCACAAGTTTCTTGCCCTTCTTCAATTAATATGGGGTAGGGCTGGCGCTCTCTTTCCAAGAATGTGCTTGCTATTGAGGAAAAGGGATCTAAGTTTACTGGTAGCTATGGTTCAAACACCAAATTGAAGTGGTTCATAGTGGTTACAGGTGTTTTATGTCCTTCCTGTGCCAAATGTAGTCCATGGACCAGCAGCTTCAGTATCCCTGGGAGGTTGTTAGACAGGCAGATTCGTAGGTCTTACCCTAGCCTAACAAAATGAAGACGTCTCTTGTATCAATACAGTATCTCCAGGAGATTCATGCACACATTATGGTCTGTTTTGAGAAGTACTACTGTAAAGTAAGAATCCATTTAAAAAATGGCACTACTAGCTGGGTGTGGTGGCACACACCTGTAATCCCAGAATTCTGGGAAGCTGAGGCAGGAGGGACAGCCAGTTTGAGCTCAGCCTGGGCAACTTATTGAGATCTTGTCTCAAAATAAAAAATAAAAAGGGGCTGGGGATGTAGCTCAGTGTAAAGGCCCTGGGTTCAATTCCCAGTACCAGGGGAGAAAATGGCACCATCATAGATTAAGCCAATTTTGAAGATTATTTTCCTCTTTAAAACAGGTAACTAGCATAAGAACGATAAAAGCATTTTAATACTAGCATAGTTCACTCCTCCCATAAAAACTCAACTTTCACAGAGCCTGCTTGTGATGTTCTTGTAAAATGAACTCTGGTTCTCTGAGTGAATATATACTTAAACACAGGCAGATCCAAAGCAAAAGTAAGGGCTTGTATTCTTTCTCATTTTGACTTATGAGATAAACTATATCTCAGAGCTAGCTACAAGTTTTTACTGTAAAAACTTGCTGGTGTTACAAAACCAAGGATAGCATTTAAAATCTCAAAGTGAGGGAAAGCTCAAGTTTACTTACATGGGAAAATTACTGGGCCTACCTAGCAAAGACTACATAATGTGTAAGTTTTAGAAATCCAAATTTGAAAACCAACTTACTTTCCCACCCCAAAAAGAATATCCTTTACCACAAAAGGAAGGTGGGGGCAAAAAAAAAAAAAAGGGAAAAGGCCTACGTGCAACCCAATTAAGTTCTAAAAACTTTTCTATCTGAAGCTATACATGCAGAAATTCTAACCGATGACTGGACAGGTAGGTAATATATAGGGATAAAACTCATTGGTTGTGGAGGCTGGCAAGAGCTAAAACAAAGTCAATGGAAATAACATGTTCTTTCTTTTTATGCCAAAGTGGACCATGAAGCCAGAGTGTAGAATCGTGGGCCTGGCAACATGAAAATACAGGCTCCTTTCCCCTTTTATCCCTTGATCCTTCTTCGTCACTCTCAGTTCCAGTGAGTCCAACATGCAGTAAGCCACCAGGGAAAGCAGTAAGGAGGGTTGTTAAAATATAAACTTGAAGAGGACACAATACTCAGACTGTAGCTGGTGTGTCAACACAATAGGAAGAGCTATTTTAATTTCATGAGGGATTCTTGGGCTCCTCCATGAATAAGTATTCATTTGTGCATCTTTTGAGTCTACAAGAAAGCTATACATACAGCAATGTAGAATGACATGAGGAAACTATTCCACTTATCAATCAAGCCCATTTATTAAGAATGTGAAAGGCAAATGCTACGTTTTCAAGAAAGAAAACAGGAGTGCTCATTTTTGTCAATGAGCTGGAGTTCACTGCTTGGCCAGTGTATGGATTATGGAAGCAGCGACTTTCTATTAGTAAAATGCACAACCCACAGAGATGGGACTATTGTATTAGAGTGTGTGTCGGCCAAAATGTAAGTGGACCTATCCTGGCTGGCATAAGCCCCAGACAGTACTGCTCTTTAAACACAAGAGATGATGCCAGTACAGGTAGCAGAGACTGAAGTTGTTTTGTTTATATAATCTCTGGGAACACATATTTTCATATCTATGGTATTTGCCTTCCAATGATGTTGGGAAATAAATCAATTTGTTGGGCATCTTTTTAATCATTAGGCTGACAAACATCTTGTTTGCAGGCGTCTAGCTAAAAAAATCTAGTTCCATCAGTTAAATACCTAGTTTGCAGGGAGCCATTTGATGAGATCTGTGATTTTCCTGGCCTTCTCTCCACCGACTGAAGGTTACACTTAGTATTTCTCACATATTTTGTACAGCAACAAAAAATAACTTTGGTTTCCATTGGTGGCATATATTCACAGATATTCCAGACTTTGGAGCCTTTCAGTTTTAGAATCCTGGAAGCTAATTAAATTGGAAGTATGACAAGGTAGAGGAGGTGGGGACGAAGGGGAAAAAAAGAACCAATTGAGCAGTTCTTCTCAACTGTAACAGAGGTATATTTTAGATAAAAATGGTTCAAATGACTGTCTGAAAACCTTTCAGAATTGTACAAAGCATAGCCAATAAAATATTTAAACGGCAGAGCACTTGAAAGACTCAAAATAGGATCATCTTTATGAGGCCATTTTAGTACTGTTCAGGTCAAAAGGAGAACTTACAAGGGTTGTCCAGAGTTAAGAAAAAGGAACAATAATAAACTCTGGAAAGGATATTAAACATTAAGATTGCTGAACAGTAGGGTGGTTAAATAGCCAAACTTCTATTTAGAATCAGGACAACAAAATAATCCCATATATTTGCAGAAACAGCTCATATCAATGATGAATATTATAATTAACTCTAAAGACAAGTAATGCTGTCCTTTACCAAAGGACATTACTGTACCTCAAGGAAAGGTCTAATTCTAAAAAGCCTCAATAAAGTTCTCTAGCATATCAAGAAATAAAAATAACAAAAAGGGAGAGAGACGAAAGATGCTTACCAGACTATCTAATCCTCCTCCCAAGAGATCTACTGCTCCCATCTGCATGGAGGACACCTGTGGCACGTTGACTGGGGGACCAAGGTCAAGATTTAAAAGATCCCCAAGAAGGTCACCTTGAGAGGGAATAACCTGAGGCTGTTCCAGGTTGGTTGCCGTGGTGGTGCCAACAGGACTGTCACCTGCATCGGTGCTGCAGTCACATGCACACAGAGGAGAAAAGAGAAAAGTCAGTTTCACCTACGACAAAATGACAAGACAACATGTAAATGTCAGTAACTACGAAACATTGTAAAAATACAATTAGTAAGTTGAAATAATTTTTTCCTTTAAAGAAAACTTGGGTTTTGACAATCTTGAACATAGAGGACAAAGGAAAATGAAAAACTAAAGTACAGAAAACAAACACAAACTAGGAAGAAAAAAATTAATGATGCTCATAATTAATCATAGGGGATTTGAAAGGATACTGATAAAAGAGGACACTTAGGTGTTTTTGTTTTTTGGCGCTGGGGTCTGAACCTCAAGCTTTGCACATGCTAAGTACGAGCTCAATCACTGAGCTACATCCCCAGCCCCAAATCCTTACTTCTTAATTGTGAGGTTTAAAGTAAGATGAGATTGGGCACATTCAGGGTGGTATGGCCATTAGACAAGTTTCAAATAAGAAAAATAAGTAGACAAGTCCATCAGGCAGCTAAGGACAAAAGACTGTCAGTCAAAGTTAGACTATCAACTTGGGAAGACATTCATTCACACATTTCAGGAGGATCAGCAGGGGGGAAAGTATGGTGAAAAGAGCAGGGACCAAGTGTTGGCTCCAGTTAATTGCTAGCTGCAAGATTCTGGGCAAGGGACAAGTTTTCTGGACAATTTCTTCATCAATAAAATGCTAACAATATCACACAAACACAAGGCTCTATTATAGCAAGGATCAAATGAAAACATGGTACAAATGGTAAAGCTTTGTAATATATTAGCAGTAGTTGTGGTCGGAAGATAAATTCCCTAAGAAAATACAGAGAGAAGCACAGAAAGAGAAAGTTCAGGATGAGCCTTTTCGGTACAACCAAGATTAATGATTAGAGAAGAGAATGAACATGGAACTGCAAAGATTAAAGACAGAAAAACTATAGAAGATGACTTACAATGAAAAAGTATCAAGGAAGCCATGCAGAAAAAGAGACCAAATATAAAAAAAAGTCCAAAGGGAAGTAATTTCATATATACTTGGCAAGAAATATGAAATCTTCAGAGTATTTTCTGTACATGAAATTATGTCATTTAATGATGTGCCACTTAAGAAATATGCTATTACAGAGATTTATTAGTATCTCTAAATAGAAGGTAGAATAGGTAGCAATGGATATATATGTTTTCATCATAATCAAAGAATATGAGAAGATAAAGTGAGTTAGATGACAAGAAGTAAATGATTTTTTTTTTTTGGTACCGGGGATCGAACTCAGGTCCTTGTGCTTTCACAGCAGGCATCGAAACCACTGAGCTAAATCCCCAGCCCAAGAAGTAAATGATTTTGTAGATTCATGATAAACATGAAAGAACATGATAAATGATTAGCACAATTTTTTCCTAAATGGAAAAAATTATATGAAAGTTTCCCATTGTGAACTCATAGGAACTTCATAAATGTCATCAAAGAAATATTTTTAAAGGTCAAAGTTTTCCAAATTAGACAACTATTTACCACCTCACCCCCACAGAACAGCTGACAAGTATTAAGCACAGTAAGCACAAAAGCAGACCCTTCTCCATTGTTGGTGGGAGTGCAGTCTGGTGCAACCACTGTGGCGATCAATATGGAGACACCTCAAAAAACTAGGATTAGAGGTCCCATTTGACCCAGCTATACCCTTGTTGGTTATCTTCCCAAAAGAATTAAAAGAATTATACCCCATGATATATGTCCACCCAGTTTGTAAGAGCTAAAACTTGGAAACAGTCCAATTGCCCATCAACTGGAAACTGGATAAAGAAAATGTGTGGTTTTTAAATTTTATACAATGGAGTACTACTCAGCCATAAAGAACAAGAAACTAGTCATTTATAGTCAAATGGATGCACATTGAGGCCATACTCTTAAGTGAAATAAATAGAACAGATGTGTAAATACTGAAGTTTCTTTGGTGTGAGAAACTGAAAGTATAAGTAAGAATCAAAATGTGTAATAGATAATGTGAAATAGGAAGAAAAGGTCTAAAGGGGAGGAGGAAGTGGGAGGAGTAGGGGAAAGGAAAGAAGGGAAAGGAAAAAAATATGTGAAAAGGAAAAAATGGAAACAAAGCCTTTGAAAATAGGGAGGGGTAGAAGGGTTGAAGGGAGGTCAGGGGAATGGGGAAAAACAAGAACCAAGATACATCATGTAAAGGTACAAATTCCCAATGAGGAATGTCATCATATTGTACACCTAAAATGTACCAATAAATTTAATTGAAAACAAAAAAGAAACTAGAGCACTTCTCCCTTTCCTAAGTGATTTTAAAAGACCCAGTGAAATAGATCTTTAAAAGCATTTTTAAATTTTGACAAGAGGCAGAGTAAGGTTTTAAAGTGTTTCTCTAATTCATGTTGGAAGTATATCAATTATTAATCTTATGGTGCAGAAGACAGGTGATAACTGAGCTAGGTAGGAAGGAAATAATTGACAGACATGTAATTTGCAGGAATGCATCATTCTCATTTATATCAAAGGGTATTTTTCCTATATTTTCCTACACCCATTAAAAGCAATAGGCAAGCACAAGAGGGTTATCTAAAAAGGAACCATAAGGAAGGTAACAAACTAAGGGTTATTAATCAGATAAAGACCTCATGTATGGCACTGTGTTTATTTTAGATAAACAGTGATTCTTTCCGTGTGTTCAAGAATATTTTTTTTCTTTTTAATTTTTTTCTTTCCATTTGAGGGCCAAAAGTTATCAGAAGGCTAGCCTAGATGGCATATAAATATGCTTATATCAGCAAGTTATAACAGAAAATCCTATCCATGTAAAAACTTGAAGCAGACCACAAGAAATTCTTAGAAGTCAAACAGTTATATCTAGGGCCAGGGATTTAGCTCAGTGGCGCTGCACCTGCCTCGCAAATGCAAGGTCCTGAGTTCAATCCCTGGTACCAAAACAAAGAAAAAGTTATATCTAGAGAATGTTAAACATGCTTGCCTAAAAGGAGAAATACCCTAACTTATTCCAAAGTCTAATCCTTGTGCATTTACACATCTCCTCTGAGTTAAAAATCAAAGGACTTGCCCCTAAACCAAAGCCTCAGCTAAGGCCATAAAAGAGTAATAATCATTTTCTTGGGTATTATCTTTCCTTTTTTCTCTGTATTTAGAGTTTTTTAAAAGAGACCCCAATGCTGATTATACCAATGTGTAAGGCTGTAAACTCTGTTTTGGCCATACATGAAATATACATTAAACAATGGTGCAAGACATTAAGACATCCATTAATGAAAAGCCAATTATTCTACTTAGATTTAAAGTTTATTATGACTGATGAAGGAATCACATTCTGGCAAGTTTCCAAGTTACTTATTATGAGAGTTTTTTAGAGGCTGGGGATTTAGCTCAGTGGTTTTGCTGCCTGCTGTGTAGGCGCAAGGATCCGAGTTCGATCCCCAATACCAAAAAACAAAAACAAAAACAACCCCCCCCAAGAAAACTTTATTAGAGTATTTCTCCTCCCTAATTAAAATTTTAAGGTATCTACAAAGCAAGTAATCCATGGTACCTGAAGTCCTGTTCATAACCGAATTTCCTTATTATATGATCAACTTAATTTGGTAAAAAAGGCACAAGTAACTGAAAAAGTATATGCATGTAGAATTTAGGCTGTTTATATGAGACAATCCTGCAAATATTTTATTAATAGTTTTATCTTATGAGAGAAGTAGTGTCTAACTTTATACATCTAAGCCTCAACCAAAGTTTCAGTAAGGAATAAACATAGCTGAATGCACAAACAGAAGACCCCACCCCCACCCCTGGTTTTCAACTCCGGGAACATTTCCGGCCTCAACTCAGGAGAAACTTTCAGACTTTATCAATTTAGAAGTTCTTCTCCATCACATTTTCTAAAGCATTACTGTATTCCTAGATTGGAGCCCTGGGGAAGTATAGTAGTAGGTTTGCAAAATCCATAACAAGTTCTTTTCCATGCTATAAAAACAGGAGGAAGACTAACTCTGCCTAAACAGTCACTCCTCAACCTGCTTACCTCCCATGATGAATTGGCAAATGTTTGCGATGGATCCCATGACTCCCTTCCACAAAAGCATTGGGAGGCTTATGATACACAGAGGCCAAAGAACCAATGTGGCAGATCAGCTCATCCAGCAGAGTTGGCTCAATAAGGTCGGTCTCCTCAGAGATTAGTGGCTTCTCGGATAAGACTACTTCTTTGGCTGTCACTGGGTCAGTTGAGAGAAGGCGCCAATAAATATAGCCCCGGTCTCGAAGGTCAGGATTGTCAGAATCCTAACAAAAAGGCAAATGCACAAAGGTTTGGACAGAACTGTTCTCCATAAGAAACCCAAAATGCGCTGGGCATGGTGCTGCACCCCTGTAATCCCATCACTCAGGAGGCAGAGGCAGGAGGATCACTGTGAGTTCAAGGCCAGTCTGAACTACATAGTAAGAATTGGTCTTAAAAAAAAAAAAAAAAGAAAAGAAAAGAAAAAAGAAACCTAAAATGCTAGACTTACCATCAAGGCAATGCTGTACTGATCTATGCAGGTTAACCATTAAGACAATTTAATTGAGACTTTTTATAGTTTTAATATAGTCATAATCCTGCAATCATTACTATTTCAAAGAATTTAAATATAAATTGAGATGGATTAGCCCTAAGACTTAAATTCAAAGGGAATCCAGGAAGAGGAAAATAATCTGGTAAAAGTTACCTGGTTGAGATGGCCTTGGAACATAAAAATAATTTTTTCAATTGCTGTAAATATTAGCAGGATTATTACTAACATTTATCTTAGATATATTTCACCCATACTTTTCTCATTCAAATATTTATGTTATCTCCTATGAAGACATTGGCTAGGCCCTAGAAATAAAGATAGAATATATGGTTCCTGACTTTAAGGAGCTCACAGAATATTAAATATTACAATATAGTGTGAGAGGAACTATTACCTATATAATCAAAACATTATTAAAAAGAGCATGCAATTAAGTGCTTTCAAAAAGGATGGCATTTGAATTCAGTGGTCATTTTTTGTTGTGCTAGTTTTAAAATAACTTATATATGTTCATGGCCAAAAACATTATTACCAATGGCATACCACAAATGAGAAGTAATATAAAAAGAAATCTCTCCCAATCAGCCATCCCCTTCCTCTACCAACTTCCGCCCTCCTACCCTCAAGAGGGCCACAATTAAAAGTGTGGTATATATCTATCCAAACAGCTCCCATGTACACATATATTTATGTTTATAATAGCCAGTTTCATATTATACTGTTCTTCAAGCTGCTTTCTATATTGACACACAGATCTGCAGTTTTCTATTGTTTATGTACTATTGTACCATTTTCACTAGTCCCCTATTGATGGACATTAAGATCGTTACCTTTCTCCCTGCCTATTTTTTATGTATTGTTTTTTGTGATCATTACAAAGTGACAGTAAATACTCTGGCATCTGCCTCTTAACAGTATATCTATATGTCAGCATTTATTTATGTATGAGTTGTTCAAATAGCATCATGTTATTAAAGGCAACATTAAGTCTCTATTTCAATTTCTTTCGTTCTTTCTTTTTCTTGCACTGGGGATCAAACTCAGGACCTCGCGCTTGTGAGGCAGGCGCAGCACCACTGAGCTAAATCCCCGGCCCTCTACTTCAATTTCTGTATGTAAAAACACTCTCCTTTCTCGCTCCCTCCTTCCCCTTCCCCCTTCTTCCCTTTCTTCCTCTCTCGTGCACATTTACACACTTTTCACTGAAAAGCCAATCTGAATCTGGGCATGGTGGCATACTTGTGATCCCTGCACTCTTGGGAGGCTGAGGCTGAAGGATCACAAGCTCAAGTCTAGGCTGGTCAAATTAGTAAGACACTGTCTCAAAATTGGCTCTGGGTACAAAAGGCAATTTTAGGCCTTTCATGTGAATTTGTAAAGGAGCAGGTGAACTGGTTCACAATGTAGCCACTTAAAAGACACTTATCATTCAACTTAAAATTAGCAGTTACCCTCTGTGTTTTTTCCCCTCATCACAGAGCTGGGGCCACCATTAAAAGTAGGAATTTTAAACAGATTCTTAGGCTGGTAGCTCATAGCCATCAGCTCATTTCACTTTAGTACGATCTCATTCCTAGCAGCCTTTCCAGAATTACTATCTTTGCCAGGAAGCTCCATGAGTTTCCCCAATATAATCTAGGGCTTTTTCAGCATTTTCCCTTTTCAAACAAAGACATCATGAAGAGGGTCAATAGACTGACAACCCTTTTTGATGTTTTTTCCAATGCTGTCTAGAATCAGGTTAGTGACCATTTCTTTTGAGTTATCTGTCTATACTCGTTGGGTCATGATTTTTGCCACCTTCTTCTAGATTTGGTGGACCTGTTGGTGCTGCGTGTAAGAGATCTTCTGTTTCTCATTGCTGCTTTTTGCTTTTTTTTTTGTTTTAGTAAAATAAAATCAACAGAGGTCAGACAAAGCAAATCCCCAGCAGTAGTTGTTCCACCAATATGAGCTTCAATCTTTGTCTGCCAGTTTTTCACCATGAAACATATTTTATCACAATTAAGACCCATGAAAGTTAAGTAGTTTTACCTAAACATCCTCAATAATTAGCTTGATTTTCTAAATGGAACTTTTACCCTGCAGGTCAACAAGGCTCACTTCAAACACAAGACTCTTGAGGCCATCAAATCCAACTTTGGTTCCTTGAGTTTTCATGACTAGTGTTTTTCCAGTATTTCTTATATTAAGCACAGGAGGTGATTCCACATGACACCACCCTTCCTCAGAAAATGGATCAACCGATTGTTTGGACTCCCTTTTCCCTGCCTGGTGTAAGGCACCCGTTCTTGCCAATTTTCATGATGTTCAAAGAGCTAAAAGATGTCTTGACGGTTTCCACCATATAGTTTTAGAAGATTTTTCTCACTTATGAATTATTTAATTTGTACTCATAATGATTATTAAAGACAAAAAGTATAAAAATATTATGATGTAGCAAAATAATAAAGCATGAAAGTGATTTTTATCTCAAGATACTCTATCATATTTTAATAGAAATGCTTATACATACATAAAAATATATGTAGGCCATATCAAATACATCTAGTAGTTAAAACATCTGGGTTAAAAAAAAAAAGCAGACTGATAAATCATACATTGTTTGGTTGCTTTTATTGGAGAGGAGGGTGTTTAGGAGATAATTTGCTCTTGAGGAAGTTTTTATAAATAGCAACCTGAAACAACTTCACTCAGAAATTCATTTGGAAACAAAGCTTGATATTTTATTTATTTATTTATTTATTTAGGTACCGGGGACTGAACTCAGGACCATGCACTTACGAGGCAGGAGAGCTGCCACTGAGCTAAATCCCCAGCCCTTGAACTTTATAAAGCAAAAATAAGTTGGAATTTTAAAAAGGAACCAAAATAGAAACTCCAAAAATCCAGTCAACCCAATACTTAGGAGGCTAAGATAGGATCAAGAGTTTGAGACCAGGGCCGGGGATTTAGCTCAGTGGTTCCGTTGCCTGCCTCACAAGTGCAAGGTCCTGAGTTCGATCTCCGGAACCAAAAAAAAAAAAAAAGAGTTTGAGGCCAGCCTGGGTTACATGGTGAGTTCAAGGCTAGCCTGCACTATATACCAAGACTGTGTCTCAAAATAATCACCCTGACCCGCCCCCCCCAAACAGGTCAAGAAAGAAAACCTCTAACAGGGGGATGTAACCAGTGGTATAGCGCTTGCTTGGCATACATAGGCCCTAAGGAAAGGAGGGAGGGAAGGAGAGAGAAAGGGAAGAATATGAATGATGAATGAATGAATTAAAAATAAAGAGCGAAGAAAGGAAAAGTGCTTACTAGCAAGGGTACTATTAGTATTAATAAGATATTATACTAGTCTCTAAAGTAAAGTCTAGAATCAGAAATGTATGATGGTTTGGTTTATGTCCAGCCCTGTCCCAGAAAAGGATTTAGCAAAGCTTACAAAAAGGAGCCTATGGGGGGAAAAAAGGGGGCCTAAGGCTAGAGACTATTAATTAAAATTAGTGGTAGAAAAATCCATGCCACAGTGGCCTGAACACCTTTCATGGGAGATCCTTAGGTTTAATTACAGTATGGATTCAAACAATCAACATGGAAAAGAAATTTGATCAGGTAAGCCATTCAGGGGGGCAATGAACTACATATCAGTGCACAAGAAAACACAAACCTTAGGGCCGGGGATTTAGCCCAGTGTTTCCACTGTCTGCCCCACAAGCATACGGACCTGAGTTCAATCCCTGGTATCAAAAAAAAGAAAATCCAAACCTTGACAGGAATTTGACAGGGCATTATAAAGAAGAAAAAATAATGGAGTAAGTAAGGACTTTGATTTTTTGGTTTTTTGGGTGCTATGGGAGATTGAACCCAGGACTTCATATATATGCTAGGCAAGGGCTCCACTACTGAACTACCTCCTTAGCAGGATTTTGATTTTTTTTTTTTGTAAGTGTCATGGATAGTGCTGAAATAGATGTCCCTGAAAATGACTTCTGGGCATTATGGTTTGTGTCACAATTCGGTTTAGGGTTAGGGATGGCAAGTGGATCAAGTACCCGGTTATTGTAGTATGAGTAGGATCATTAGAGTTAGGATTAGCGTTAGGTAAAGTATAGTGTTTTGTGACATGTGCCTGAGCATTGCAGTGTGGCTATGATGGGCAGTGTTTGGGTTAGCATTGTAGCTAGGCTTAGGGTTAGGGTTAGGATTGGCGTTATGTGTATGTTCGGTATTTTACTTCCTCTGTATTGCAGTGTGGTCATGATGGTTAGCATTAACCTTAGTTTCAGGTGAGGGTTAGGGCTAGAGCAATTCAGTTCCTTGTGTACTGGATTTTTTTTCTTTATTAAATTGTTTTATTGGTCCATTGTAGGTATACAACACAATTACATTTCTCATTGGGAATTGTACCTTTACATAATGCATCTTGGTTCTTATTTTTTCCCCATTCCTA